CTCCCCTCTCCAGCCTCCTCCTTCCTCCCTCCTCTGTCTCTCTATCTCCAATCGTCCCCCCCCCCCCCCTCCTCGCCCCCTCTCTCCTGGCGTGTTCCCCTTTAGCCTCGTCCCTCCCCCTCCCTTCCTCCCACTCTCCCTCGTTCTCCCTCTTCCTCTTCTTGCAGGGCCCGCGCTAAGTCCAATGGTGGGCAAAGAGATGCGTGCCCCATCCTCCGAATAATTCCCCGCCCGTTCACGCCCGCTTGTCTAAGCCCGCCCGCCCCCGCAAAAAGAAATAGTCCCCCCAGAAGGGGGTACGCTCGAAGACGAAGGGGGCGGGTATCGAGGGCGTGGGTATACACGTTGCATGGCACGCGGGCAAGTAAGAGCGAACAATCTTAACATTATTGTTGTTGTTGTTGTTGTTGTTGTTGTTGTTGTTGTTGTTGTTGTTGTTGTTGTTGTTGTTGTTGTTGTTGTTATTGTTGTTGTTGTTGTTGTTGTTGTTGTCGTTGTTGTTGTTGTTGTCGTTGTCGTTGTCGTTGTTGTTGTTGTTGTTGTTGTTTTTGTTGAACTTTCATGTCTGAAGAATAATCGTTGTTGATCCCCCCACCGGTGCATGTTGCTTTTCTCAGTCAAAGTGTGCCCCTTGACGCTCGCACCTTATTTTTCCTCAGGGGAAGTCTTGGTGCTCAAACTGGGCCCCTGGCCCTCCAGATTACAACAACAACAACGTCTCCCGCTTGGGAGTTCCTCCGAATTTACTCAGCACCCCTGCTCCTGAGACTTCCTCACAGTTTACTCAGGATCGGTGCTCCCGCTTTGTGATTTGCTCGCAATTTAGTCAGGGCCCCCGCTCCCATCTGAGACTTCCTGACAATTTACTCAGGAACGGCGCTCCCGCTTGAGACTTCCTCGCAATTGAATCAAGACTTCTTCGCAATTTAATCATGAGCCCCGCTCCCGCTGGAGAACCCTTCACATTTTATTCAGGCATTGCGCTCTCGCCTGTGACTTCCATGCAATTTATTCAGAAATCGCGCTTTCGACGCTCAGGAAACACGCTGCGCCAAGGACGCCGTTTCAATTTACTTAGTAATCGCGCTCTCGCCATGCTCAGGCATCCCGCTTGAATGTCCCACCCGCCCGACCCGCCGGTCAGGGGATCGCCCGCCCGTCGTGGGCTCCCGCCCGAGGCTTCTTTCAGGAACGGCGCTTTCGCCTAGGACTTCCTCGAACGTTCACGCTCTTACTTTCCTGCTCCTCCTCCCTCTCCCTCGTCCCTCCTCCCTCCTCTCCTCCCTTCTGTCTCCCTCCTCTCTTCCCTCATCCTTATGCCTCTCTGCCCTATCCCCTCTCCCTCCTCTCCCCCCTCCCTTCTCCCTCCCTCTCTCTCTCTCTCCCCCCTCTCTCTCTCTTTCTCTACCTCTCTTTCATGTCTCTCTCTCAGTGCCTCTAATCAACCGCCCCCCTCTTCGCTCCTTTTCTCCTGGCGTTTTCCCTCTTCCTTCGTCCCTTCCCCTCCCTTCCTCCCGCTCTCCCTCGTTCTCCCCCTCCTCATTGTGCAGGGCCCACACCAATTCCAATGGCGGGCCCATGTACGCCCACGAAGGATTGTCCGCCCGTTCAAGTTTGCCCGCCTGTCTAAGCCCGCCGCCCCCCGTAAAGATATTTAATCCACCCAAACGGGGTATGATCGAAGACAAAAAAGGGCGGGTATCGAGGGTGTGGGGAACTCGTTTTGAATGGCACGTGGGCAAGTAAGAGCGAACAGTCTTATAATGATTGTTGTTGTTGTTGTTGTTGTCGTCGTCGTCGTCGTCGTCGTCGTCGTCGTCGTCGTCGTCGTCGTCGTCGTCGCTGTTGTTGTTGCTGCTGCTGCTGCTGCTGCTGTTCTTGTTGTTCTTGTTGTTGAATATTCATTGAAAAAGGAAAATTGTGGTTGGTCAGCGGAAGCGGTTCCGCGCACTCTCGCCTCGACTCGGGCTACATTTTCTCCGAAAACGAGGCTCCCGCTCGAGCGTGAGCTTGAGCCTATATGTGGGCCCTTGGAGGCCCAGCTACGACAGCAACGGCTTCCGCTCGATGCGTCCTCACAATTTACCTCGAGACACCCTGGCCACAGAGGCCCCCGAACTCAGGAACGGCGCTGTTGCCCGAGACTTCCTCGCAATTCAATTAAGTTGGCGGAGGCCCAGCCACGACGACGAGGGCTCCTGCTCGATACATCCTCACGATTTACTCCGAGAGCCCCTGGCCAAAAAGGCCCCCGAACTCAGGAACGGCGCTCTTGCTCGAGATTGTCCCGTAATTCAGGCAAGTTTGTGGGGGCCCGGACACGGCGACAAGGGCTCCCGTTCGATATTTCCCCGTAAGTATTCCGAGAGCCCTTTGCCAGAGAGGCCACCGAACTCAGGAACGCTGCTTTCGCTCGAGACATCTTCACACTTCACTCAGTTGCCGACAAGGAAGAGATTCTCCCCGAAAGGGGGTGCAATCGAAGACGAAGTGGGCGGGTATCGAGGGTTGGGGTATACGGAATGCAAGACACGCGTGCCACTAAGTGCGAGCAGTCTTAAAATGATTGTTGTCGTTGTTGCTGTTGTCGTTGTTGCTGTTGTTGTTATTGTCGTTGTCATTGTCGTTGTCGTGGTCGTTGTCGTTGTCGTTGTTGTGGTTATTGTTGTTGTTGTTGTTGTTGTTGTTGTTGTGGTTGTTGTTGTCGGTGTTGTTGATGCTCAGCCGTCCTTGTGGTTTGGGCCCTCGTTTTGATAAGGCACGTGATTCTCCGTCGCCTCCCTCTGTCCTGCTTACTGTTTTCTCCTCATATTAACTCCTCTGTTTTCTTGTGGTGATGTTCCAACCTACTGCAGCCTTGACCACAAGAAAGAATTTCGAGCACCAAGAAAATACCGAATCTGGAGGGTTTTCACGTGTCGGGCCCTGGGAGGCGATACTCGTTCGACATTGTTTCGATAGTTTTCTGGGTGTTCGAAATTATTTCTGGGATGTGGTCCTTAAGTATGATGGGAGCAACAAAATCATCGTCTACCCTTTTCTTCTGACTTTTGGTTTACTTGCCTCTGTTGACTTTTCCTCGGTGTTGTGCGCTTTTCTTTGGGTGCTGCCAAACTTACACTTGTCGCCACTGTCCGGCGCCCCTCGGGGGTCAAGGGGAGTCCTCGCCACATGCAGATCCAAACTATGACATCGCCTTCCTTGAGAAGGTAAAAGCGCGCAGCACAGGCACTGTTTCACGGGTTGACAGGTTGACGGGTTGGCAGGTTTGACGCATTGGCGGGTGCACGGGAATCTGTGGGCACGTCAGTTTTTCAGCCGTTGGGCATCCGCAGGAGTCTTCAACCCCTGGAGGTGGCAATCGTCTCGGGTGTGGCGAGCACGGCAGCGTGAGGCCTTCTCCTTCTTCCCTTCCTCCGCACCGTCGGCACTGTCCTCCTCTTGCTCGACCACCCCTTCCGCCGTCCTCCTCCCGGTCCTTCGCCTGCTCGTGCTCCCTCCCGTCCTCCTACTCGGCCTCCCTCCCCCTCCCCCTCCCCCCCCTCCCCCTCCCCCGCCCCGCCCCGCCCAGCCCCGCCCCGCCCCTCCCCTCCCCTCGTCCGCGGAGGTGCGGCGGAGACTCGATGTCGGTCGTCCCCGAAGCTGGCCACCCCCCCGCTGCCTGCGCGCCTCCTCGGGGAGGCCGCCCTGCGCGGGGCAGCGCGGGTCGGCGCCCGACGGGCCACCCTGTGCTGCCAGCGAGGCCCAGCTGCAGAAGCAGCGCGCCGAGCTCGTCGACCCCCAGATGTCATCTCGGCCTGGGGCTCCAGTGCGACGTCTTGTCTTGTCTTGTCACGTCTTGTCGTGTCTTGTCGCGTCTTGTGCTGTCCTGTCTTGCCGTGTCTTGCCTTGTCTCATCGTGCCTTGCCGCGTCTTGTCTTGTCTTGTCTTGCGTCTTGTCTTGCTTTGTGCTGTCTTGTCTGCTCCTGCTCGTCCTCCCCATGCGCCTCCCCTCCTCCTCGCCCTCCCTGCCGCTCCTCGCCCTGCTTCCTCCCCCCCCTCTCTGTCCTTCTACAGTTACGTCATGTGAATACTACTCTCCTCTCGCCCCTGGTGACGTCCGGGGCATGTTCGGCCCCCCTCCGCGTATGTTTTTTTACGCAGGATTCCCCGGAGTTGGGTTTTCGCATGGTTTCAAAATGCTGCTCTTGCTGAAGCGCTGGCTTAATTTTCGGGCTACCGCTCGTTCCGAATCGTGCTCCCGCTGCAACGCTGGCCTCATTTCCGCGCTTCCGCTCGTTCCGAATCGTGCTCCCGCTGCAGCAGCTGGCGTCATTATTTCCAGCGCCATGTCACTGCATTTAAAACATGCCCCCCATAAACAACCAGCGGAAGTGATTACACATTCGGTGCCAATTCTTTGTTTGTTTGGACCGCAGAAGCCCCCCCCACTTTGAGGCGTCGCCACGTCATGCTATGTCAGGATACGCTTTGATCTTCAACGCCATGCTATGTCATGTAATGCTATGCTCTGCTACGACATCTGGCTGTGCGAATCGAGAGGAGATCTACGCCATGGTCAGGGGAGGGAGGGAGGGTTGGGACGTCAGATATGACGCGAGCGCACCTAGCTTGCCCCTCCCCCCTCCTCGTCCTCCCCTGCCCTCCCAGCAGCCCGTGGCGCAGGACGAAGAGCAACGACAGCTGGGCCGCCACCTGGGGCCGCCCCCCCCCGCGCCCTCCCCTCGCTGGGGCGAGTAGAGGGAGAGCGAGAGAGCGCAAGAGGGAGGGAGAGAGGGAGAGAGGGAGAGGGCTTCCGCCGCCGCTGCCGGGGGCTCACGTCCCCGAGCTCGCGACGCGAGGAGACGGCAGGTCCTGCCGGGGGCGGCCGAGAGCGGGGTGATGACGGAGGGGGGCGGGCCCGCGGCATCTCTCTGGATCCCACGCCCTCCTCCTCTCGCTTCGATGCGCCCCCTCCCCTTCTCCCTCCTCCGCGCACGTGCCTCGGGCCCCGACGCGCAAGGCCCAGAGAATCCGGCTGCTCTCTTTTTTTTGTCCGACGCGTCGGCCCAGGAGGGCTGGGCCCCTCCCCTGGGGCCCTCCTCCTCCTCCTCCTCCTCCTCCTCCTCCTCCTCCTCCTCCTCCTCCTCCTCCTCCTCCTCCCCCTGGGGCCCCTTCCTCCTCCCGCGCCGCTCTTTGACGCCCGGCGAGGGCCCCCAGAGAGGCCGAAGACGACCCAGACCCCGCCGCTCCGCTCCTGGCCGGAGCGCCGGCTCTCCGGGCCCACCCCTCCTCCTCTCCTCCCTCCTCCTCCTCCTCCTCCCTCCTCCCTCCTCCTCCTCCTCCTCCTCCCCTCCTCCTCCTCCTCCTCCTCCTCCTCCTCTTCCTCCTCCTCCTCCTCCTCCTCCTCCTCCTCCTCCTGTCGACGCGCCGAAACAGAGAACGCTCACCAACCCTTCCCCTCGCTCCTGGCAGCCTGCTGCCGGGCCCGATGGCACGCTCCGCGCTGCTCGTGGCCCTCGCCGGTGCCCTCGGCGCGGGGGGCGCTCCCGCGCCCCGCCTGCGTGGGCCGCCCCCGCCCGCGGAGGGGAGGCGCCCCTGGGCGGCGTGCTCTCTCTCCCTGGCCCGCACCAGGGAGGAGGAGGAGGAGGAGGAGGAGGAGGAGGAGGAGGAGGAGGAGGAGAGGAGGAGGAGGAGGAGGAGGAGGAGGAGGAGGAGGAGGAGGAGGAGGAGGAGGAGGAGGAGGAGGGAGGAGGAGGAGGAGGAGGAGGAGGAGGAGGAGGAGGAGGAGGTGCCCCCTGGCCCAGGCTTGTGATGTTCCAGCCTACCTTGACCACCAGGAAGAGTTTCGAGCACCAAGAACAGCATTCCTAAGTTTGAAGGTTTTCACGTGTCGGGCCCTGGGAGGCGATACCCGTGCGACACTGGTTCGGTACTTTTCGGGGTGCTCGAAATTACTTCTGGGATGTAGTCCCTAAATACGGTGGGAGCAACATAAGCCCAGGCTTGGCGTCGGCCGCCGCCAGCGTCGCCGCCGCCGTCGCCCGAGGCCAGTGGGCCCCGAGGAGGGTGTGGCGGCGGCAGCGGCAGGGCTGAAGCGTGCCCAGAGTCCGGCAAGGTGTGGGTGTGCAAGGCCCACCTGCCTGGCTGATCCGAAGAGGAAAAAGCGCCGTAAACGCAAACTGTTGGCGCTCCGCGCGGATTTCTTGGATCCGCGCTGGGCTGCCCCCCCCCCCCTCCGGCGGCGCCTCCGGCGCCGCCCCTGGCGCGCTCCGCGCGTCGGGGAGGGGCGTCCCGCGCAGATTGAAGCCGCGCGGAGCTATGGCGTTTTTGCTCCTTTTACTGATGCTCTGGGGGGAGGGGCCTGTGCTCAGGGGGGGAGATGTCGGTGGCGTCCAAGAGGGGGATGATGAGTAGGGGGGTGGATCTCATGGCTGGGGCCATGATATCTCTCCTGATTTCATGCCTCCCTCTCTCTCTCAACACGTCCACTGGACCCCCCCGTCCGCGTTCTTGGACTCCCCCCTGTTGGACACCCCCGAAGATGGGGCCAGAGTAGACAAGATTGGAGGATCGCATTGGCGATGCATTGGCGACGCGGCGCGATTCTCCAACCTGATCTGCTCGGACCCCATTTGGGAGGCCTCCAGGAGGGTGCTTCGAGAGTGGGAGGAGTGCTGCTGCAGAGCGGCAGCGGAGGAGGGAAGGCGGGAGGGACGGGGAGGGAGGGGCGAGGAAGGAAGGAGGGAGCAGGGCAGAGGGAGGAGGGAGGCGGGACCCACTCGGGTGCCCCTGGGCTTTTTTTGGGAGGGAGAGAGGGGAGGAGAAGGACGAGGAGGGGGCTGGGTCGGATAGAAAGGAAGAGGACGCGCTGGTGCACAACACGGGGCCCGCCCAGGTCGTGTGGAGCAGGATGGCGTGTTGGGGTGGGCCTTGCGATCTATCTCAGGTGCTGCTTCAACGGGTGCGGCGACGTGAGCTCGTGCGTGACGGACTACTGCACCACGCGAGAGCAGTGCCTGTCGCCTCAGCCGGGCGGCGGCTGCGATGCGTCCCCACCCCACGGCAAGGGAGCGAGGCCCAGCTGGTGCCCAGCTCTCCGGCAGGAGGGCCTCGCCCTGCCGGCCGGAGCAGGCGCCGCGAGGCCCCCGCTCGCTGGCACGCCGGGCGGACTCCAGCGAGCTCCGCGAGGGCCCCCTGGAGAGGGGTACTGGGCAACATTCGAGTGGCACCCGCATGCCGCCTACAGGTCGGGCGACGGGATCTGGACTCGGAGGAGGGGCAGGGAACCGGTGCCGGCACCCTGGCCTCGTCTGAGCTTCCTCTTGGGCCTCCTGGGAGAGGCCCTCGCCGCCGCCGCTCTGGAGTCGCTTCGAGTTCCGGCCAGCACGCACCCCGGGAGAGGCCCGGGGATGTCGCGGCATCGGAGCCCTTGCGGTGCCCCCTCCGCAGGCACAGCCGCCGCCCCTGGCCAGGCCCCCCCTTCTGTCACCACCCACCAAATCACCCCAACCCAACCTGAAGGCTCAGATTTACCCTCGATTTCCAGTGGGGGGGGGTCGGGAAACATCGAAAAAACACATGTGGAACCCTTACCCCCCCCAACCCGAAATCGGGGTCTTCGGGTTGGGTTGGGGTGGTCTGGTAGGTAGTCATTCTGGGGGCCCAGGAGCGGTGCAGACGCCTCCCTGTCCAAGCCAGGGGGGGGGGGTGAGCGCGCCGCTCCCGGGCGCAGGGAGGGGGCCCGGGCAGGGGCGGGGGCCGTGCACAGGCCCCGCCGCCCTCACAGGGCGAGGGGCCAGTGCGCAGACAGTGATGCCAGCTGCTACTGGCGCTGCGGCAGTGGCGCCTACCTCACCGAGGATCAGCGAGCGAAGAACGGTCTAAAATAACCTTTGCCGCCGTCGGGGGCACCCTGCCCCAGGGCGGCTGGAAAGTTTACACCCCTACGGTGCCACCGTAAGGGCATAAACCCTCCAGCCGCCGGGGGGCAGGTGTCCCCGACGGCGAAAAAGGTCATTTTATACCGTTCTTCGCCCGTTAAGAGGAGGCCAGAGGGTGCACTACCGGCGCGTTCCCGCTGGGCCAGGGCTGGTTCGATGCCGTGGGCGACGACTGCCAGACCATTGGCGCCGTCGGCGCGCGCAGCACGGCTGCGGGGGGCATCTTCTTCGGTGTTGAGAAGGTTGCCAGCCTGGAACATATCCCTACCCCTATGCTGGGCACCTCCTCATCACGATGCCAATCTTAGGGATTCCCTTACTAATTTGAGGGCGAATCCCTAAGATTGTCGTCGCCGTTTGGCGTGTCAATCTTAGGGACAGGGATACGTTCGAGGCTCGTACGAAGGGTGGCCCGCTGCAGTCGGATCTCTTCGATGCGGAGGGCCGGCTGTTCTGGCCCGTGCTCGCCCTCTTCGCCAGCGACTACTGCACAGGCCCCTGGCAGGAGTACTACGGCCAAAGCGACTCGTGGGAGCCCAGGAGTCTGAGCGGCGAGACGCCTGGGGCCCAGAGCTTCAAGTCCTACCGTATCTACATGAAGCCTGCCGACGAAGAGGAGGTGGAAGGGACCCTTGGCATCAAGACGGTCTTCTTCCCCTACTTCGACATGGCCCCTTACGACCAAACGATCTGCAAATCGTGCCAAGAAGAGGGCGGCTTGTGCGGCGGCAAGTCGCTGTACACACCGTGGTCCGAGACGCAGGAGTGGCCAGGCTTGGACTGCGTGTCCCCAGACGACCGTGTCAGCTGCTTCACCCCAGGAGATCAGATGTGGTACGCCACCGTCAATGGCAATGGTGGCAGCGGCTATGGCTGTGTCGACTTCGCTGGTTGCACGATCTGCGAAAGCGGCTCAGACCAGAAGTTCTGCGAAGACAATTGCCCACAGTTCGGCTTCAGTCCCAATGACTGGTGCAGAGGCTCACCTATCACGAGCTTATATTCATACCCTTTAGGCAGCTTCTATCCAGCGGCCTGCGGCAAACCCAGCTCCTGTGCCAGCACAGAAGCGTAGCAGGGTTGAGGTTGCGTTTGAGATTCGCTTCAGCTGAACGCCTGCCTGAACTGGCGAGGGTCTTAAGCACCCCCTGCTTGTCCGCAGCCTCGTGTTCCTACTTCCCCCTCCTCCCCTCTCCGCCCCTGCCCTCCCCCCCTCCTTATCGACAGCATGCTGGCTTTTTGGGGGCTTCTTGGAGGCTTCTTTGGGGCCTCTTGGGGGCTTGTTGGGGACCTGTCGGGATCTCGGCCCGTCTTGGGCGCGAGTGGTCTACCGACCTCTTCCGCAGAGGCTCGGTTGAACTACCCTGGGGACGTCCGGGCGAGCATTGGGGCTGTCTTGGACTGTCCTCGGGGGCTCTCGGGCTTTCCGGGGGCCCTCTTGGGGCCATTACGCGTCGCCTTGGAGCCTTCTTGTGGCTCCGTGCAGCTTTCCCGAGGCAATCTGAAACCAAAAAGCTGCGGAAGCAACACATGATAGTCAGGAGGGTTAGACACAGACACACACACCACCGACGATTTCAGCAACCATCGGAGGTGAGGGGGTGAGATCGAAGTGGAACGGAGAGCCCCCCTACGGGGAAATCGGTTTCGGTTTCGTGTTCGTGCGTGCCGTGCGAGCGGGCGAGGCGAAGCTGCGGGGAGGGCGAGAAATATGTCTCCTGTAGCTGAGGCGCGGCCGGACCAAAAGTCTCCCTTCCGGCAACCGGTGCCCCGCGGTGTCCCGCCGGTGTCCCGCTCGGGGGCTGGTGGCGCGCGGTTTCCCGACGGTGTCCCGCCGGTGTCCCGTCGGTGTCCCGATGATGATGATGATGATGATGATGATGATGATGATGATGATGATGATGATGATGATGATGATGATGATGATGATGATGATGATGATGATGATGATGATGATGATGATGATGATGATGTTGATGGAGGTGATGGTGATGGTGATGCTGGTGATGATGATGATGTTGATGATGATGATGATGTTGACGATGATGATGATGATGATGATGATGATGATGATGTTGATGATGGTGATGGTGGTGATGATGATGGTGCCCCGATGATGATGATGATGTTGATGGTGATGATGTTGCTGATGATGATTATGGTGCCCCGATGATGATGTTGCTGATGATGATGATGTTGCTGATGATGATGATAGTGCCCCGATGATGATGATGTTGATGATGATGATGCTGATGATGTTGGCGATGATGGCGATGATGATGATGATGATGATGATGATGATGATGATGACGGAGGTGATGGTGATGGTGATGGTGGTGATGATGATGGTGTCCCGATGATGATGATGATGTTGACGATGCTGATGATGATGATGATGATGATGATGGTGATGATGATGGTGATGGTGATGATGATGATGGTGCCCCGATGATGATGATGTTGATGATGACGATGTTGCTGATGATGATGATGGTGCCCCGATGATGATGATGATGATGATGATGATCCTGATGATGTTGATGATGATCAGATGATTTGATGATGATGATGAGGACGATGATAATGATGATGGTGTCCCGATGATGGTGATGATGATAATGATGAGGTTGATGATGACGCTGTTGATGATGATGGTGATGATGGTGTCCCGATGATGATGATTATGATGATGACGATGAGTATGTCCCGATGATGATGATGATGTTGATGACGAGGATGATGATGAGGTGATGATGATGATTTTGATGATGGTGGCCCAATGATGGTGATGATAATGCTGATGTTGGTGATGATGGTGTCCCGATGATGTTGATGATGATGATGATGGTGACGATGATGGTGACGATAATGATGGTGTTCCCATACTGATGATGCTGATGATGATGATGATGTTGCTAATGATGATGATGGTGTCCCGATGATGATGATAATGATGTTGATGGTGTTGTTCATGATCAGGATGGTGAAATGATGATGATGATGATGATGATGATGATGATGGTGGTGTTCCGATGATGATGATGATTATGATGATGATGATGATGATGATGATGATGATGATGATGGTGTTCCGATGATGACGATGATGATGTTGATGATGATGCTGATGGTGACGATGATGGTCTTCCGATGATGATGGCGATGATGATGTTGATGATGGTGATGAGGTGGTGATGATGTTGGTGTCCCGATGATGCTGATGATGGTGATGATGATGTTGATGACGTTGATGACGATGATGTTGATGATGATGATTAGGACATTGATTGTGATATCGATTGTGATATCGATAGTGAGATCGATAGTTAGACCGATTGTGAGATCGATTGTGAGATCGATAGTGAGATCGATAGTGAGATCGATGGTGAGATCGATTGTGAGATCGATTGTGAGATCGATCGAATGAAATAGATCGAGTGAGATCGATTGTGAGATCGATCGAGTGAGATCGATCGAGCGAGACCGATAGTGAGATCGATAGTGAGATCGATAGTGAGATCGATAGTGAGACCGATGGAGTGAGACGTTGGTTCCTCCCCCCCCGAACCTCCTTATCACCCGAAGGGTGGTCGTATAGGTATGGGAAGATATGGAAAATTATGGGAGATGGAGGGGAAGAATAAAATCCAGAAAGTACGGTGACTCCTGGAAGCTCTAGACGTTTCGCGTAACCCCACCAGCCCATCAAGAAACGATGCCCAGAGGAAGTGCCTCGATTAGGGAAGTGGGCAGCACAGAGGAAGGGTCCCCCAGTGGAGGCCTCTTGGAGCGTCTTGGGGGCCTCTTGGCCGTCCCGGACGCCTCTGAGAGCGTCTTGGGTGCCTCGGAGAGCTTCTTGGGGCCTCTTGGGGGTCTCTTGGGGGCCTCTTGGAGGCCTCTGGGGCGCCTGTTGGGGCCTCCTGGGGCCTCCTGGGCGCCTCTTGGGGCCCTCTTGAAGCGCTCTTGGGAGCCTTGGGAGCGCTCTTGGAGCCCTCTTGGGCCATCTTGGAGTCATCGTGAAGCCTCGGATGGCCATTGGAAGCGAAAAGGCGAGAAAGCCCAAAACATTGATTTTCCGGAGGTTTTGGAAGGATTTTGGCCTCTTCGGGGCCTCCTGGGGGAGCTCTTTGGAAACTTGGAACCGTCGTGAAGCGGTCTTTGGACCTCTGGGAGCATCGTGGGAGCCATCTTGAGGCATCTTGGGATATCTTGAGCCATCTTGGAGGTCATCTTGGGCTCTCCCAGGCGCTCTTGGAGTCATCTGAAGCAGTGCCCCCCCCAGGAGGCCCAAATGTGGCCAAGACCTTAGTCAAATCAATGATTTTGGCAGTCTCGCCGAGGCCTCTTGGAGCGTCTTGGGTGCCTCTGGGGGGCCTCTTGGGGCCTCTTGGGGGTCTCTTGGGAGCCTCTTGAGGGCATCCTGGGGGCCTCTTGTGGGCTTCTTGAGGCCACACGGGGCCATCTTGGGGCCATCTCGGGGCCTCTTGGGGCCTCCTGGGCGCCTCTTGGGGCCATCTTGGAGGAGATCGATCACAGGAGGGGGGGGATTCAACTAGCCCCCCCCCCCCTCAGGAGGCCAAAATGGGGCCAAAACCATGGTACAACCAATGATTTTGGTTTCCTCGCCGAGGCCGTTTCGGACGCTCTAACGTGTCGGGGGACCCCCGTCGAGGTCCAGGGGAGGGGGTAGGGGGAGGGGTCAAGTTAGCCAGCTCGAACGAGCCAGATGGCTCCGTCCACTCCCGCCCGCCCTCCCACAACATAAGAAGCATGTGCGTCGCGTCCGACGCCTGTCGCTCATCTTATATCGTGGGCGGCCACACGTTCAGCGCGCGACATGAACTGCGTCCTACTCCTGCCGCGCAGTGAGCAACGTCGACAAGAAACAAGACCGCGCGCGATGTACGCCGCCCCCCGCTCCAGCCTCTCATGTTGCATCGTCGGCGACAACATGGTCAGCGCGCGAAGTGCGCCGCCAAAGGTCACTGTTGCCAAACGTCTCCTTTACGTGGACACGACAACGGGCGCGCCGGCGGCGAACCGCACATGCTTGAGGCATTCTGACTTACCACCCGCCCAGCTCCTCAACCCGACGGGCCGCAGCGTCGACGACAAGAAAGTCCATGTAGACGAGCAGGCGTCCCCACGCGATGTGCGCCGCGTCCCATTATCGCTACACGATTCGCAGCGCCGACGAGGAGAAAGTACATGTTGGCAAGAACAACGTCGACGTTGCGTTTTTTTTTGGCAGGTACGACGGGGGGTCCCGCGTAGGGTTGGCCAGGCGTCCGCGCGCGATGTGCGCCGCGTCGCATTCCCGCTACGTTTTTCGCAGCGTCGACGACAAGAAAGTCCATGTTGACGAGGAACATCGTCATTTTGAATGTTTTTTGACAGGTAGGACGCGACCGCACGCTTAGGGTTATCCGAACGATGTTCATTCCGTCTCATTCCTGCTATTTGTTTTCGCAACTCGACGACGCGCTGGCGAGAAACGAATTGAGTGTTTTTCCTTTATTAATAACTCGGACGACGGGGTCGCTATCGGCGGGCTAGGTGGGGATGTGGGGGTGTTTCATCATAGGAAGGTCGGATAAACCACTCCCCGAAAAGGGAAGGAGGACGAGCAAAAGAGGATACACTCGAGACCACATACGCCCAAAGGGCTGGTGGGATTGTGCATCTTGGACCATGCCGTTGCCAGCCTGGAAGATGACCATGCCACGCCTCCGCTTCGATGGGACCTCCACGTGAAAACAACTGGCGTTGGCGCTTTGGGGCCTTTGGGGAGGCCGTATTGGGGCCTCTTGTGCGCCTCTTGGGTGTTCCTGCAGGCCTCTTGGGGCGGAAAACTTGGATTTTCGGTTCATGTTCCCTCTTTTGGGCCCCTGTTGGGGCCGTCTTGGGGCCCCTTGGGCCGTCTTGGGCGCCTCTTGGGCCGTCTTGGGGCGCCCTTAGGCCGTCTTGGGGCCCCTTTGGAGGCTTCTTGGTCCTTTTTGGGGTGGTCTTGGCGGCCACTTGGGCGGTGTCGTCGGACAGCCGAACATTCGAGAACGCCAACATCATTCAACCATGTTAGGAACATCCGCGTTTTTTGCCTCTTGGGGCCCTCTTGGAGGCCTCTTTTGGCGTCTTGGAGGCCTCTTGGGCCATCTTGAGGCCATGTTGGGCGTCTTGGACCGATGTTGGGGCGACTTGGGGCCTCTTTGACAATTCGGGGCCTCTTGGAGCCATCTGGGCTCGTTTTGAGGCCGTCCTGGGCGGTGTAGGCCAGCGCGGACGATTCCGGCGGACCCCGGAAAAACCCAGGGACAGTGCGACAGTGGTGGGGGCCCTGGTGGGGACAGTGGGACGGTGGTGGGAACAGTGAAGACAGTGGTGGTGGGGACTGGTGTTGGGGACAGCAGTGGGGGGTGTGGTGCGGACGGTGGTGGGGACCCGGGAGTCGTTTGCCGGTGGAAGTGTGGGGTGGGTGGGGTTCGAACCGGTAGTGACCCCTTCCGGTTTTCTGGAGGGGAAGGGTGGGGTTCGAGCCGGTAGTGACCCCCCCTGGTTTTCTGGAGGAGGGGTGGGGGGGTTCGAGCCGGTAGTGACCCCCCCCGGTTTTTTGGAGTGGGGGGGGAGGGGGTTCGAGCTGGTAGTGACCCCCTTCCCAGTTTTCTGGGGGGGGGTTCAGTGACCCCCCCCCGGTTTTCTGGAGGGGGGGGGGTTCGAACCGGTAGTGCCCTTTGGTTTTGGAGGGAGGGGGAGGGGGGGGGGGGGGGTTGGGGGGGGGTGTTTGCCGGGGGGAAGGGGGGGGTCCAGCAGGGGTGAGTGGTGGGTGGTGGTGGGGATTTTCGAGGGGGGGGGGGAACCCCCAGGTTTCGGAGGAAGAGGGGGGGCATTTTCCACAGTAAAGCGGCGGTGGATCACGCTCTCTCGCATGTATGTAGTGTCATGTAGTGTAGTGTAGTGTAGTGTAGTGTAGTGTACTGTAATGTAATGTAATGTAATGTAATGTAATGTAAATGTAATGTAATGTAATGTAATATCATGTCATGTAATGTAATGCAATGCAATGTATTGTAATATAATGGGTTGTATTAGAATGTGACGTACTGTATCATATTGTGCATAATTACACATGGATGTATGCACATATATATATATATACACGTATATATATGTAAATATATACATATACATATCTAAACACATATATACTTATATGCATGTATGTATGTATGTATGTATGTCTGCATGCATGCATGCATGCAGGCATGCATGCATGTATGTATACATGCATGCATGTATGTATGTAATGATGTATGTATGTGTGTTTGGATACATGTATATGTGTATTCATGTATGCATATATGCATGTATGTATGCATGTATGCATATACATACGCACGTACGCATGTATGCATATATGTATGCATGTGTCTGTGTATGCATGTACGTGGGTATGTGTGTGTATGTGTGCACGCACACATATATGTATATATATATGTACATATGAACTGTACACACATATATACATATATAGATATGTATGCATGGGCTGTATGCGTGCATGCATGTATGCAAGTATGCACACATGCATGTATGATTGTCTGTTTATATTCATATATGCGTACATGCATGCATGCATGCATGCATGTAATTATGTAGGCATGCATTTATGCATGCAGGCAGGTATATATGTATGTATGTATGTATGTATGTATGTATGTATGTATGTATGTATGTATGTATGTATGTACTTATTCGAATATATATTTACACGTGTGTGTGTGTGTGTGGTCTTCGTTTCTGGGAAACGAGGATCTCCCTGCCAGACAATAGCACGCGTTCGAACATCCCACTGTCGTGCAAGCACGATGGCAGATTACCACCTGTACTTCTCCACAAAAACCTTGGGGGACAGCGGTGAGAAGAGCTATTGCGGCGACAGCTTGTCCACGGACGACGGTGCGAGTTACGCGGTTTGCACGCCTGGCTCAAGTTTGTACAACAAGTACAGGGATTATTGTGTGGCGACCCGCTTCTACAACTGCAAGGACGACCTAAGTTGCCCTTCGCCCTACACTTGTCCTGAAGACCCGAATACAGCAACGTACCACTTTACCAGCATGAAGGTAGTGGATCTGTGCAGCGACAACCTTCAAACTGGTGCTTGCTTTAACACGATGAACGGCAGCCACCAGGGAGATCGCGTTGCCGACTGCGGGAGCCTCGAATACTGGGATGGACAATCCACACACGCGCCAACCCAGTGGCCGTTGAAAACCACCTGCTACATCACAGCTCTGGTCAAGTGTGAGGAGGTTCTCGGCTCCTGGTGAGTGGCCCTGAAGTGCAAAGCCTCCAGTCTGCATTGCGATTCGGCCGGCAGCGCTGTGACCGAGGCTGGCACTGGCCATTGCATGACCGAAGCAACAGACGGTGCCGCGCGCATCTGGTAACGCGGAGTTACCCTGGTGGCACTGGCCACTTATAGAAGGAAAAAAACGCCATAAACATAAACTTTGGCGCTCCGGGCGGATTTCTTGGATCCGCGTTGGGTCCCCCGGGCGGCGCCTCCGGCGCCGCCCCTTGCGCGCTCCGCGCGCCAGGGAGGGGGGTCCAGCGCAGATCCAAGATGTCCGCGCGGAGCGCCAAAAGTTCGTGTTTATGGCTTTTTTTGTTTTCTTCTTTTTCTATCTTAGTGAACTGTTGGCCCGTGCCTTGGACGGCACTTGTCTTGACTACGACGCAGCATCTGCTGGGACTTTGAGGCGCTGCGCCTCTCGTGCACGCAGCCAAAGCGGTGTCAGGCAGAGAGCAGGCGCACCTCTCTCTTTTGATCCCGCTCCGTCGCGCCGAAAGCGCGCGGCGCCGTACAGAGTTGTCTCTCCTTTGTCTGACCTCGTCGGCGCGTGGCAAGCCCATGACATAAACATGATAACTCGGAGGTCCGCGCGGATTTCTCGGATCGGCGCCAGGGCCCCCTGGCGGCGCCTCCAGCGCCGCCTCTGGCGCGCTCCGCGCGCCAGGGAGGGGGGTCCAGCGCGGATCCGAGAGATCCGCGCAGACCTCCGAGTTTCTACGTTTATGCCATTTTTCGTTTCCCTAAGCTCTCACTGTGTCCCCGCAGCCCTCAATGCGAAGAGGAGAAGTTGCCCCGACGAGAACGCGCCAATTGAATATTCTGTCGTCGGAGCAGTGCGCACTGCCTCTAACAGGTCTCTGCTCTGCGCAGTCTTGCTTTCCCTGAGGTCGACGGTCGACGAGATGAGAAAATCCCTCCTCGCCCTCCCCCGTCCTCCCGAAAGAATTTGTCGCTGGAGTTCTGGTCTCTAGAGACTTCAACCACCCTGGGTGCTCCGTGCGTCGTGCGGTGGCTTGCAGCGCTTGGCTCGGCAGCCTGGTATCGTTGAGTTGTCTCACTGGTCTGGTCCTGCGCAGAACTGCGCATGCCCTGCGAAGGCTGGTTTTGGGACACAGCTGCAGCACGTCGGACGACCCCTCTGCTCGAAGCTGCGGTTCTGTCCTTGGTGACCCTGAGTGTGCTCCAAGGAGTGACGGCCTTTTCCCCAGCGGAGCCCGCCCAGTTTTTCTCTCAACCATCCTGTGGTGTTGGTCCTCGTTTTGAAGAGACGGTCCCCGCGTCTCTTCCTCCTCATTCCTCGCTCCCCCCTTCCCCTTCTCGACTATGCCCTCCGCATGTCTTTGTTTCGGCACGCCCCTCACACGTCGTTTCGTGGCCCCATATGGGGGCCCCACCGAAGGCCCCAGTGGCTGCGCTCGCATGACGCCACCGCGCCCATTTCGGCACGCCCCTCACACGTTTCGTGGCCCGGTAGGGAGCTCCACCGAAGGCCCCAGTGGCTGCGCCCGCATGGCACCACCGCAACCATGTCGGCAGACCCCTCACACGTTTCGTGGCCCCACAAGGAGATCCGCCGCGGGCCCCAGTGGCTGCGCCCGCATGACACCACCGCGCCCATGTCGGCACACCCACCACACGCTTCGTGGCCCCATAGGGAGCTCCACCGAAGGCCCCAGTGGCTGCGGGGCCGTCAGGTCCACGAGTTACGCCCAAGAGTGTTCCAACCTTCTTGATTTAGTCGAGCGTGGTGTGTTTCGTGCTTGCCGCAGTCGCGCGGGCAAGCATAACTTGCCCTTTGATCCTCCAGCTTCCGAGCAGACAGAGGCGACTGCTGCTTTCGATTTCGAATGGGAATTCTGCAGCAATACATTTTGAAAGCGGTGCGCGATAATCTTTGATAATCTGAGCGAGCACGCGTATGCTCGAATATTTTTGTTTCCGCTCCATGAGGGCCCCAGCTGGCAAGGGTCGGACAGGACGGTACAGGGCAAGGTTGACGACATCAGTGAGAGAACAAAAGCGGAGATGTGTGGGCGCGCTGGCTTGACATTTTTCTCTGCTCGGTGCGTGGCGTGGCCGCCTCAGACTTAACATATTCGGTACGCATGGACGCTCGGCGCCGAAGAGCATCGTCGTGATCTGTGCCGTGTGCCGCTGGGCTTCCAATGGGTGTCACAGAGTGTCATGTGACGTCTTTCTCCTGGAGTGTTGCTGCTTTGCGCGGCCGTTTTCTATTGCTCGCTTGCTGCTGAGTATCGGATGAAAACAAAAGGAGGCCTCAGTGGCTGCGCCCGCATGGCACCACCGCACCCATGTCGGAAGACCCTTCACACGTTTCGTTGCCCCACAAGGAGCTCCACCGAAGGCCCCAGTGGCTGCGCCCGCATGACACCACCGCGCCCATTTCGGCACGCCCCTCACACGTTTTGTGGCCCCACAAGGAGCTCCACCGAGGGCCCCAGTGGCTGCGCTCGCATGGCACCACCGCACCCATTTCGGCACACCTCTTACACGTTTCTTGGCCCCATGGCGAGCTCCACCGAAGGCCCCAATGGCTGCGCTCGCATGACACCACCGCGCCCAGTTCGGCGCACTCCTCACACGTTTCGTGGCCCCATAAGGAGCTCCACCGAAGATACCAACAACTGCATTACTCACAACTGCAGATTCCCCAATCAGAGCTTGCCTCTGTAGGAATCCTAGCGGGTTCATATGGTTAGGTTAGGTTTGTCGCCGATTTTCGCGGCACGCCCGGGTGCCCGGGTGCCCGGGGGTGCCCGGGCGCCCGGGGGTGCCCGCGGGTGCCCAGGTGCCCGGGTGCCCGCGAGTGCCCGGGCGTGCCTGGGGGTGCCCTGGTGCCCGGGTGCCCTGGTGCCCGGGTGCCCGGGCGTGCCCGGGGGTGCCTGGGTGTGCCCGGAGGTGCCCTGTAGCCCTATAGCCCTATAGCCCAATAGCCCAATAGCCCTATAGCCTTACAACTCTATAGACCTATAGCTCTATAGCCCTATAGCTCAATATTCATAAGGTTAGGTTAGGTTTGCCGCCGATTTTCGCTGCACGCACGCCCGGGTTGCCCGGGTGCCCGGTGGTGCCCGTGGGTGCCCGGGGGTGCCCGGGTGCCCGGGTGCTCGGGCGTGCCCGGGGGTGCCTGGGGGTGCCCGGGGGTGCCCTATAGCCCTATAGCCCAATAGCCCTATAGCCCTACAACTCTATAGCCCTATAGCTCTATAGCCCTATAGCTCAATAGCCCTATAGCCCTATAGCCCCCTAGCCCTACAGCCCTCATTCCCCACATGCTTGGTGGGGTTCTGGTTTTCTTCACTGCCGCGCCGCACCCGCGTCTCACCTCCTCCTCCCTTCCTCCCCCTTTCTCCTCCTTCCTTCCTCACCCACAGCACAGCACAACACAGCACGGCACAGCGCACACATACACATACACACACATACACACATACACACAAACATACCTCATCACCCACAGCACAGCACACAGCACAGCACAGCACAGCACAGCACAGCACAGCTCACCGCAGCACAGCACAGCACAGCACAGCACAGCACAGCATAGCACCCACACACACACACACACACACAAGCACGCAAGGCATGGCAGGAGTGGCACTTTCTCGACACCACAGGGGGTGCGCAGAGGGTGGTCCCTCAGCGCGGCCTCTATCCGTGACACGCTCGCAGATCGTGGCAGGAGTGGCACTTTCTCGACACCACAGGGGGTGCGCAGAGGGTGGTCCCTCAGCGCGGCCTCTATCCGTGACACGCTCGCAGATCGTGGCAGGAGTGGCACTTTCTCGACACCACAGGGGGTGCGCAGAGGGTGGTCCCTCAGCGCGGCCTCTATCCGTGACACGCTCGCAGATCGTGGCAGGAGTGGCACTTTCTCGACACCACAGGGGGTGCGCAGAGGGTGGTCCCTCAGCGCGGCCTCTATCCGTGACACGCTCGCAGATCGTGGCAGGAGTGGCACTTTCTCGACGCCACAGGGGGTGCGCAGAGGGTGGTCCCTCAGCGCGGCCTCTATCCGTGACACGCTCGCAGATCGTGGCAGGAGTGGCACTTTCTCGACACCACAGGGGGTGCGCAGAGGGTGGTCCCTCAGCGCGGCCTCTATCCGTGACACGCTCGCAGATCGTGGCAGGAGTGGCACTTTCTCGACACCACAGGGGGTGCGCAGAGGGTGGTCCCTCAGCGCGGCCTCTATCCGTGACACGCTCGCAGATCGTGGCAGGAGTGGCACTTTCTCGACACCACAGGGGGTGCGCAGAGGGTGGTCCCTCAGCGCGGCCTCTATCCGTGACACGCTCGCAGATCGTGGCAGGAGTGGCACTTTCTCGACACCACAGGGGGTGCGCAGAGGGTGGTCCCTCAGCGCGGCCTCTATCCGTGACACGCTCGCAGATCGTGGCAGGAGTGGCACTTTCTCGACACCACAGGGGGTGCGCAGAGGGTGGTCCCTCAGCGCGGCCTCTATCCGTGACACGCTCGCAGATCGTGGCGGGTACGCGCGGGGACCGTGACACGGGGTGCGCAGAGGGTGGTCCCTCAGCGCGGCCTCTATCCGTGACAGCAGAGTGGCAGGAGTGGCACTTTCTCGACGCCACAGGGGGTGCGCAGAGGGTGGTCCCTCAGCGCGGCCTCTATCCGTGACACGCTCGCAGATCGTGGCAGGAGTGGCACTTTCTCGACACCACAGGGGGTGCGCAGAGGGTGGTCCCTCAGCGCGGCCTCTATCCGTGACACGCTCGCTCGCGTTGGCAGGAGTGGCACTTTCTCGACACCACAGGGGGTGCGCAGAGGGTGGTCCCTCAGCGCGGCCGCTATGCACGACGGTCGTCCATGGCATAGCAGGCGTGGCACTTTCTCGACGTCATAGGGGGTGCGCAGGGGGTGGTCCCTCACCGCGGCCGCTATGCACGACGGTCGTCCAGGGCATAGCAGGCGCGGCATTTTCTCGGGGGTGGTCCCTCACCGCGGCCGCCATGCACGACGGTCGTCCAGGGCATAGCAGGCGTGGCACTTTCTCGACACCATAGAGGGTGCGCAGGGGGTGGTCCCTCACCGCGGCCGCTGGCTGGCTCGAATCTGTCCTCGATGGAGGATAGAAGGCTCGGAAGTGGGAGGAGGTTCAAGCAATATGACGTTGGATGACACAGAGGGGAACATTCGCGACGAGGGCTGAGAACGCAGAATTGCGCATATATTACAAACTTAAGCAAGCACATAAGATTTAAATTAAGTATGTGGGGTTCCTCGGTAGCGTAATTGGGTTTTTTCTCCGGTATCATGGTTGGGTCCTTCGCCAGGATAACCATCTTGTGGTGTTGGGTTCTCGTTTTGAGGAGACATCGCCCCGCGTTCCTCTCCTCTCCTCTCCTCCTCCTCCTCCTCCTCCTCCTCCTCTTCCTCCTCCTCCTCCTCCTTCTCCTCCTCCTCCTCCTCCTCCTCCTCCTCCTCCTCCCTCTCCTCCCATCCCTGCCTCTGTCCTCTGCACCAGTCAACTATTTCGGCACACTCCTCACACGCTTCGTGGCCCCATAGGGAGCTCCACCGAAGGCCCCAGTGGCTGCGCTCGCATGGCACCGCCGCATTCATCGGCACAACCCTCACACGTGTCGTGGCCCCATAAGGGGGCTCCACCGAGGGCCCCAGTTGCTGCGCTCGCATGGCAGCACCGCGCCCATGTCGGCACGCCCCTCACACGTTTTGTGGCCCCACAAAGAGCCCCACCGAGGGCCCCAGTGGCTGCGCTCGCATGGCACCACCACGCCCATTTCGGCACACCCCTTACACGTTTTGTGGCCCCACAAAGAGCCCCACCGAAGGCCCACGTGGCTGCGCCCGCAAGGCACCACCGCGCCCATTTCGGCATACCCCTTACACGTTTCGTGGCTCCATAAGGGAATTCCACCGAAGGCCCGAGTGGCTGCGTTCGCATGGCACCACCGCGCCCATGTTGGCACGCCCCTCACACGCTTTGTGGCTCCATAGGGGGTTCCACCGAGGGCCCCAGTGGCTGCGCTAGCAAGGCACCACCGCACTCATTTTGGCACGCCCTCACACGTTTCGTGGCCCCGTAGGGAGCTCCACCGAAGGCCCCAGTGGCTGCGCTCGCATGGCACCACCGCGACCATTCCGGCACACATCACACGTTTCGTGGCCCCATGGGGGGCTCCACCGAAGGCTCCAATGACTGCGCTTGCATGGCACCACCACGCCCGTCACACGTTTCGTGGCCCCACAAGGAGCTCCACCGAGGGCCCCAGTGGCTGCGCTCGCATGGCACCACCGCACCCATTTCGCCACACCCCTCACACGTTTCGTGGCCCCCAATGGAGCTCCACCGAGGGCCCATTTCGGCACACCCCTCGGCCCCAAGGGAGCTCCACCGAAGGCCCCAGTGGCTGCGCTCGCATGGAACCACCGCGCTTATTACGGCACACCCCTCACACGTTTCGTGGCCCCATAGGGAGCTCCACCGAAGGCCCTAGTGGCTGCGCTCGCATGGCACCACCGCGCCCATTTCGGCACACCCTCAAACGTTTCGTGGCCCCATAGGGAGCTCCACCGAAGGCCCCACTGGCTGCGCTCGCATGGCACCACCGCGCACGTTTCGTGGCCCCATGGGGAGCTCCACCGAAGGCCCCAGTGGCTGCGCTCGCAAGGCACCACCGCGGCTATTTCGCCGTACCCCTCACATGTTTCGTGGCCCCGTAGGGAGCTCCACCGAAGGCCCAAGTGGCTGCGCTCGCATGGCACCACCGCGCCCATGTCGGTACGCCCGCCACACGTTTCGTTTCCCCATAGGGAGCTCCACCGAAGGCCCCAGTGGTTGCGCTCGCATGGAACCACCGCACCCATGTCGGTACGCCCCTCACACGTGTCGTGGCCCCACAAGGAGCTCCACCGAGGGCCCCAGTGGCTGCGCTCGCATGGCACCACCGCGCCCATTTCGGCACACCCCTCACACGTTTCGTGTACTCACACGGAGCTCCACCGAAAGCCCCAGTGGCCGCGCTCGCATGACGCCACCGCACCAATTTCGGCACACCCTTCACATGTGTCGTTTCCCCATGGGGAGCCCCACCGAAGGCCCCGCTCGCGTGACACCGCCGCACCCACGCTGGCACACCCCTCACACGTCTTGTGGCCCCATAGGGAGCTCCACCGGAAACGAAACTAACAATTGGTGCACTCAACTTTGCATATGGTTGGGTCCTTCGCCAGGATTTTGTGTGGGTCCTCGTTTTGAAGAGAGCGCCGCGCGTGTCCTCTCCTCCTTCCTCATTCCTCCTCCCCCTGCGTGCGTGCGACCTCCGCATGCCCATTTCGGCACACCGCTCACGCGTTTCGTGGCCTCATACGGAGCTTCGCCGACGGCCCAAGTGGCTGCGCTCGCTTGGTGCCACCGCGCCCATGTCGGCACACCCCTCCACCGAAGCCCCAGGGGGTTGCGTTCGCATGGCGGCACACCCGTCACACGATTCGTGGCCCCATGAAGAGTTCCACCGAAGGCCCCAGTGGCTGTGTTCGCATGGCACCACCGCGCCCATTTCGGCACACCCCTCACACGTTTCGTGGCATCATGGAGAGCCCCAGTAAAAAAACGGTCCCATTTGCTGCGTTCGTATTTCACCACGGTACCCATGTCGGCACACCCCTCACACGTTTCGTGGCCTCATGGGGAGCCCCACCGAAGGCCCACGTGGCTGCGCTCGCATGGCACCACCGCGCCCATTTCGGCACACCCCTCACACGTTTCGTGGCCCCATGGGGAGCTCCACCGAAGGTCCAATTGGCTGCGTTCGCATGGCACCCCCGCGCCCATGTCGGCACGCCCCTCACACGTTTCGTGGCCCCATAGGGAACCCCACCGAAGGCCCAAACGGGGGCGTTCGCATGGCACCACCGCACCCTTTTCGGTACACCCCTCGCACTTCTATTGGCCCCTTAGGGATCCCCAGTGAAAAGGCCCCAGTGGCTGCGTTCGCATGGCACCACCGCGCCCATGTCGGCACGCCCCTCACACGTTTCGTGGCCCCACAAGGAATCCCACCGAAGGCCCAAATGCCAGCGCTCGCATGGCGCCACCGCACCCATTTCGGCACACCCCCACACGTTTCGTGGCCCAGGAATCGTGCTGACTCGTGATCGGCTCCCCGTCTGTGTCCTGAAGGGCGTCTCTACCTTACATTTTTGAAATCGTTTTCATGTTTTTTGTGTGGTTTTCCTGAACCATCCTGTGGTGTTGGGTCCTCGTTTTGAAGAGACAGCGCCCCGCGTTTCTCTCCTCCTCTCCTCCTCGCTCTCGTTCCTCCTCCGATCCCTGCTTCTGCCATCCGAACCAGCCAACCATTTTGGCACACCCCTCACACGCTTCGTGGCCCCATAGCGAGCGTCACCGAAGGCCCAACCAAGTGTCAGCGTTCGCACGCATGCGGCCATTGCATCCATTTTGATACACCCCTGAGACGTCTCGTGGCTCTATGGGTAATTCCACCGAAGGCCCAAATGCCAGTGTTCGCATGCGGCCACCGCACCCTCACACGTTTCGTGGCCCCACAGGGAGCCCCTCCGAAGGTCTAAATGCCAGCGTTCGCATGCGACCACCGCTCCCATTTTGGCACACCCCTCACATGTTTCGTGGCCCCACACGGAGCCCCACCGAAGGCCTAAATGCCAGCGTTCGCATGCGGCCACCGCACCCATTTTGGCACACCCCTCACACGTTTCGTGCCCACCGAAGGCCCAATTGGCCGCTTCTGCATGCGGTTACCGCACCCATTTTGGCACACCCCTCACACGTTTCGTGGCTCCATGGGGAGCCCCCACTGAAGGCCCAAATGCCAGCGTTCTCATGCGGCCACCGCGCCCATTTCGGCACATCCCTCACACGTCTCGTGTCCTCATGGGGAGCTCCACCGAAGGCCCAAATGCCAGCGTTCGTATGCGGCCACCACACCCATTTTGGCACACCCCTCATACACTTCGTGGCTCCATAAGGAGCCTAACCGAAGGCCCAAACGCCAGCGTTCGTATGCGGCCACCGCGTCCATTTCGGCACACCCCTCACACGTTTCGTGGCCCTATAGGTAACCCCACCGAAGTCCCAAATGCCAGCGTTCGCATGCGGCCACCGCACCCATTATGGCACACCCCTCGCACGTTTGGTAGCCCCATAACAAGTATGTTGACTACGACGTAGGCCCTCGTGATGACCTCGCCTGAATGTGCCACTTAAAGGCCTGGTGGTGAATGACGCGGCCTCTTCCCAGGGAGCAAAATGCCCCATGTATCGGCCCTCCGACTGACGAACGTACCCTGTCCAAAAAATATAGGTGATGTAGGCGAATTCCACCATGCACCGTACCATGTTCTCTTGGCGATTAAAGCCATCGGGCGGCAGCCAGACTGTGAGGCCAGATGCACCGGTAGGTGATCTTGTACTCGGGCGGGTCGTCTGGCCACCGCTTCGGCCACCGATCGGCGACCGGCGCCGTGTCGGAGAGCTCGTCACCGCCCTCCTCGTCCGTCTCCTCACGCCGCGCTGGCGCCAGCGGCAGCTCGCCGCCCCAGCAGCCGCCCGCTGGCACCAGCCCCTTCACATCGCCTTTGACCAGGTCCGCGACCTGGGTCCTCCTCCTCCTCCTCCTCCTCCTCCTCCTCCTCCTCCTCCTCCTCCTCTTGCGCCCCCGCCGCGGAGCCGCGGCAGGAGCAACCTGCTCGGCCGCGCTCTCGCGCGGGCCGTCGCCACGCCGCACGGCCATGACCGCCGTGGCCACGGCCGCCGCGGCCGCTGCAACGGTCCGGCGCGGCGCGCCTTCCCGAGCGGCCGCGCGGACGGCTGTCTCCACAAGGGAGGCCGCCGTCGCGCCGCCGGCGTCCAACATCCCGCGCGCGCCGCCCGCGGAGGGAGGGGGGGGACCCAGAGGGGCCCGGCGCACGCACTTGAGCCCGTGGCTTGTTGGTAGCCCCATGGGGAGCTCCTGCGAATGCGGTGCATACCACGACGGTGTTCACGACCGCATATGGTTGGGTCTTTCGCCAGGCGAACTCTTGAAGAGGCCCAGTGGCTTCAGCGTCCCCCAGTACTAGTACTGGTCGCTTTCTTTCCTTGAGGGGTCGACTGGGGTTACTTCAAATGTCGTAATGCAAGGAAGGGGGTCGCAACCCTCCCAGGCGAGCAGTTTTGGACCCCCCCCGACCAGCCATCAGAGGGCGGCCTTGTGCCCAGACCCCGCGGAACCCTCCAGGACAACTCAAATCAGCTCCCCCCAAATGTGACCCCCCCCACTTTGTTATGGAATCTGGGGTCACCCGGGGATTCTTTGGCCTTGCGGCTTTCTGGGTTCCCAGGGGTCCTGTGCCATTTCTAGGATAAGCCCGATAAGGCGATGCCCGGTTATGCCATGCGTTGTTGTCCTACACTGGTATCCCATGCAAGGGCATGCATCGGGGCTCAAGAGACGGGGGTAGATGCACACGGGGTCAGCCAGAGCTTCAGATCTTGCAGGATCCTGCAGAGCCAGGTGCGATGACCCACGTTTGGGTGCAGGATCTTGCAGGATCCTGCAGGATCTTGCCGACTGACATGGGTTTGGAATTGACCTGGGTCAGTAGGTCCCCGAATGCAACACGACTGCACATGATAGCGCTAATGACATGCTAACGTCATGCCATGCTTGAATTTACCACGCGATATGCAGTCTAAGACGCCTGCAGCAGATCACCGCCGCCCCCTGCCTTCTGCAAGCGCATGTGTGGTCACATGTCGAATGAAGGCGCTGCCATGGCAGTGGACTGCATGTTCCCTTAGCGCTTGGGGAAACCACTGGGGGAACACTGGGACTCCTTTAGTGTTGCTTCCTGGCCCTGCAGGCCTTCTTTGGGGCCTCCTGGGGCTCTCTTGAGCCCCCTTGGGACTCTCTTGGCCATCTCAGCGGGGCTCCCGGGAGCCTGCTGGCTGTCTCGGGGGCTCTTGGGGTGGAGGTCTCCAAGAGGCAGTTCAAGCTTCCCCTCTTGGGGGCCTCTTGGAGACCTCTTGGCGCCCTCTTGAGGCCTTGGAGGGCCCTCTTTGGCTCTTGGGGGGCGTCTTGGTCCGTCTTGGACGCTTTGGAGACCGAACATGTGAGCTTACGATAGAACACATCAGGAGCATTAGACGACGACGACGACGACGACGACGACGACGACGACGACGACGACGACGACGACGACGACGACGACGACGACGACGACGACGACGACGACGACGACGACGACGACGACGACGACGACGACGACCACGACCTCGACCACGACCACGACCACGACCACGACGACCACGATCACGACGACGACGATGGCGGCGGCAGCGACGACGACAGCGTCTCACACACGCCGAAGGGTTGGCGGATTTACTCAGTGACCTGGCTTTGTTTTGTTGCGGTTTATCAGGAACCTTGCTGCCCTCTCGGCGGATAGATGGGAGCGTCCGACTTCGACCGGCAGCATTGTCCATGGACAGCCGCACCAGCACGGCAATGTTGCCAACGCCACTGCACACCACGTCCCCCAGATGGCTCAGGAAGTCACGACATCAAGCATTATGTTGTTTGTTTCTGTCTGTTTCTCTCATGCTGTTGCACTCGACTGCCGTGCAGGCTCGCTCAGTCAACCTTTGGCGGCCACGTCGCGTCTTCCCCGTCGGCGGCGCGCCCAGGGGGGGTCAGAGAGGGGGGCAGGCCTCCTCGGCAGGCGGCGTGGCTTCGGAGATGGCTCCGAGAGCCTCTCGGTCTCCCAGAGGCCCTCCGAGCCTCTCGAGAGGGCTCGCCCCCTCCGAGCCTTCCCCCCCGGGGCGCGCCGCCGAGCCTGAGCAGAGCAGGCCACGCTGCTCCCCCCTTGCCAGCACGCCGGCGCCCGAGCGAGGACGCCTCTCCCGTCGCGCCCAGAGCGGCACAGCCCCGACGCGTCTCCGCTCTGAGTCCTTTTGCCCGCGGGCTCTTGATCCCCTCCCCGCACGAGGCCCCTCCGACATGCGGAAGCCTCGGTCCTCGATCCTCGATCCGCCCCTTTCCCCCCTCCTGGCCCCTCCTCGGTCCTCCTTCCTCGATCCTTCTTCTCCCCCCCCCCGCCCTCCTCCTCGCCTCGCCACTTCCCCGTTCCTCCTCCTCCTCCTTCTCCTCCTCGCCTCCTCCTCCTCCTCCTCCTCCTCCTTGTCTTCCCTCCTCCTCCTCCTCCTCCTCCTCCTCCTCCTCCCCTCCTCCTCCACATGCTCCTCCTCCTCCTCCTCCTCCTCCTCCTCCTCCTCCTCCTCCTCCCCTGCTCCCCATTCTCGTCTTCCAGGTCCTTCTCTTCCTCCTCCTGCTCCTCCTCCTCCTCGCCTCCTCCTGCTTCTCCTCCTCCTCCTCCTCGCCTCCTCCTCCCCCTTTCCCCCCTCCTCGCCCCCAACCTTTCTCCTCGCACCCCACGCCCTCCCCCCGCTGCCCGCTCCGGCGTTTCCTGCCCCGCTGGGCCTGGCCGGGTGCGCGCGCGAGCGCAGGGGCTGCCATGATGGGGCCGTCTCAAGATGTCGTGAACCGGTACATCGAGGACATGGCGAGCGCCGCTGGCCTCGCCCGTCCCCGCGCCCCTCCTCCTGCCCTTCCTCTCCTCCCTCCTCCTGCCCTTCGTCTCCCCCTCCTGCCACGCCCTCCCTCCCCCACCCTCTCCTCGTCCGCCTCGTCCTTCTCCTTCTTCTCTCCTCCTCCTCCTCCTCACCCTCCTCCTCCTCCTCCTCCTCCGTGGAGGAGGAACCGGATGAGGAGGAGGAACACGAGCAGGAGCAGAGGAGGAGCAGGAGAGGAGGAGGAGGAGGAGGAGGAGGGAGGAGGAGGAGGAGGAGAGGAGGAGGAGGAGGAGAGGAGGAGGAGGAGAGGAGGAGGAGCTTCTTCTTCCTTCGCTTTTCAAAGGCAACAAGTGTCCTGCCCCTCCCCTCCTCCTCCTCCTCCTCCTCCTCCTCCTCCTCCTCCTCCTCCTTCTGCTCCTTCTTTTGCTCCTCCTCCTCCTTCTCCTCCTCCTCCTGGATTCTTTTTCCTTCTAGATATCTGCTCCCTGTCGCACCCCGAGGTCGGTCGGAAGGGCGGGGTGGGCGTTTCGCCTGAGTCACGGATTGAGGGCGGGAGCGTTTTCAAAATGTGGCTTTTGCCGTAGCGCCGCGCGCACTCGTCTTTCAAGATATGCAAGAGCTCTCAGATTGAGTTTCACGGATTCCTATGGTGAACGTATCAGCAATGGTGTTCTGGAACGATTTAGGATTGTCAGGGCGCCACATTTACATTGAGTCGCGGTGCCGAGTACTAGGAAAGGTGTTCTCGCATGATGCAGGATCGTCAAGACGCGACAGTCAGGTTGATTCATTGCTGTGAAGCCTTGATCATGTTGTTTGGCACGCTTTAGGATCTTCAAACGGTTGTTTCCAAAATTGTCATTTACTTCAGTGGACATGAATCGGGGTAGGGGCCTACGAAGAGGGAGCTTGGAGGGAGGGTTTATTGAATCGCTTCGCTCATTCCGCCGGCCCATAGTGTAGCGTCGCTGGCACTTGCTTGCGTGCTCGGGGGGGCATTTTGGGTGGCCTCCTGGGGCCGCTTGGGGGCCTCTTGGGGGCCTCCTGAGGGCCTGTTGGGGGCCTCTTGGGGCCTCTTAGGGGCCTCTTGGGGCCTCCTGGGGACTTCTGAGGGCCGAGGGCTCGAAATATTGTTTCGTGTTCCCCCCCTGGGGTCCCTCTTGGGGCGTTCTTGGGGCCCTCTTGGGCCGTCTTGGAGGCCTCTTGGGCCGTCTTGGAGCCCTCTTGGGCCGTCTTGGGGCCCTCTTGGGGGCCTCTTGGGCCCTCTTGGGGCGGTCTTGGGGGCCTCTTGGGCCGTCTTGGGGTGTCGTGAAGCCGAAAAGGTGGAAACGCCAAAATCTCTCCAAAACCTAAGGAAAAGCAGTGAATTTTGCCTCTTGGGGCCCTCTCGGGAGTGCTCTTGGAGGCCTCTTGGGGCGTCTGGGGGCCATCGTGGGCGTCTTGGAGCGATCTTGTGGCATCTCGGACCCCTCATGTAGCATCTTGGGGGCCTCTTGGAAGCCTCTTGGCCCTTCTTGGGGCTCTCGGGGACGTCTCGGAGCCGCGTTGGTGCGCTGCTGGAGCGCCCTGGTGACTCCTCCCGGGACTCTCTCGGGACCTTGCCGGGGTACTTTCCGCCCGGGGGCCCCCAGGGGCCGCCCCGCGCGCGCGAAGTAGAAAGATTGTAAAGCAGTCACCGGAGATCTTAGCACGCCTCTGGCCCGTTGGGCCGGCGAATTCTAACATCGTTGATGAGTCTTGG